TAAGATCTGACATTCAATTTTTTTTATTTTTTTTCGCAGTTATACCAACATTACTTCTTGGATTTCAGTGACAGACATAGTTGTTCTATGTTATTGTGGACTACCGACTTTGTTACTCATGTCGTATCAGCCTCATAGCTGTGGAAACAATTTTACGGTTTTCATAAGGGTGTTTCAGCTATGTTGTTTCTTCCGATGGACCGATAGTCCCACATGTTACACTACCAGCAGTGATGAGAATCTGATGTTTTCTCAGGTTGATAATGCAGTTGAGGACAGACATAGTCAGATTTTGAAATTGAATATTTTAATATTTATTTCTCATTTTAATATTTCTCATTGTAGTTGTACTTGTCTTTATCATTTTTTTATTTTTTCTGATACTCACGAGAGTGTGAGAACTGTATATCATCTTTTGAAACTAATTTGTGATGATTTTATGCTTATGTACTACAAATAAACTATTCTGAATAAGTTGCCCCAAACAATTTTATCAGACAGAGGCAGAAATGTCATTTATACAACCATAACTACCAATAAACTATTCTGAATAAGCTGCCCTAAACAACATGTCAGCTTATTCTGATAATCTGCAGATTATCAAATTATCATAATAATTTATTTATCAGCAAATTATAAATAATTAATAGCTGTCCCAAACAGACCCTAAATGAATGACTCGATTCATGCCATTTTGATTTGACACCTCGATTATTCAGTCACTATCTTAGGCCGCTTGATTACTTTGAGGTTTGTGCATGTAGTTCTAATGTGTACATATTATTTCTTTGAATTTTTATGCTTCCTGAAAGTGATAGTTACGATAAGGATATGGAAATAATTTAATAATTAGTTGAGCTAAAATCAAGAAAAATTATTCGATAATTAACTTTCCTTTGGATCTTATGCCCAGCTTACTCTATAAATAGAGACATAGGTTTGACATAGCATCTATCGCCGTCGTTTTTTCTAGTTAATCGAGTTGCATCATGGTTGATGGTTCAAGTCGGGTCACCGTGGACCCCAGAATCTTGCCAAGGTGGGCTACGGACCTTCGGTCTCTACAAAGAAGAACAATGTTAAGAAAGGGATACAGTCAAGGTTCAAACCTTCGTCGATTAACCAAGTCGACTCATCTGGGGATCTCATGGGTCGAATGCCAAAAGTCCCTCGTAAAGAGGTCGCAACCCCTGAGTCTGTCATGGGCTTAATTGTCGAGGGACTGCAGGACCTGCTCGCTGAAGGCGCTAAGGTGATTAAAAAGGAGTTGACGGTAGGAGCAATCATCATCTCTCCTCAGTCGCTACTGCAAGATGGTGGAGGTACCTCAACGCCAGAGGGAGAAAAAGCTTTCAAACCCTTTCTTATATAAACAAATTTATGGGTATGTAAAACTTTTCTTGGTTGTTGATGGTTCTCAAAAAAGTTTTATATTATTTCTATGCATACGAGTCTGTCGAGTCGGAGGACCATTAGGATGGTGGTTGGTCGAAGGACGCTACAGAGTCCACCTCCGCTGCAGTGCCTGGTCTGTAACTCAAATATGTGGGGCTTCTAGTGGCAACCACTTAAAGCAGTGACAGTCTTACCACCCCGCCACCGGCTTTGAATGAGAGAAAAGAGAGTGGCGGTTGTCTTCCTTTGGAGCCATGGAGCAGCAAACAGGGGTGTTAGGGCCCTTTATAGTGATGGTCGATTCTTCAGAGGGAATGGTCGGAGGTCCGGCTGTAGATTTTGTATAGAGGTTATCAGCCCATCTGGCGATCATGGGCTCAAATGCATCGACCCTAAATGCTGAGGTCGCCACCTTTTGTTGTGGGCTGGTCGAGGCGTTGCACGAACTAGGGAGCATTTTGAGTCGAATGACCTGGGCAAGTCCCAAACAAAAGTTGGTCAGATGGATCAGATTAGGTTGGGCAGACAGATGATCCTAAAAAAGTTGACTCTGCGGGGTCCCGATTGAGGCTTTGACACTTTGTTCTAGACCTGTAATAATGTTATCTGAAAATGAATCAAAATTTGAGTAAAATTGAAAAAAATATTTGTTGTGACAGTTATCATTATATGACACCTTATTTTATGCACTTGACTTAGAAGTAGGGCAATGGACCACTTTTTTAAATGTGTCTTGTTTTCTTTCTTTGAGCTTCTGATCTTCCGTTTCTTTTCGTCTTTCGACTATTTTTTGATGACTCTAAAATATTCCCTTACCCTCTTTGGCTCCGTAAAGGATGCCAAACCTTCATTTTTGAAGGAGATGGAGGTGAAAGAGTTGTTGAGGAGGTATTTTTTACATGACGTCACTCTTTGGAAGTTGTTGGAGTCGGCTCGAGCTCCAGACGTCATGGGCAAGGATCTGGTCTTCTACCTCTGATTTCTTATAGGAGAATTCCTTCACCGTTCGTAGAGCGAACTAGCTACAAAGCTTATTCTGTCTTATGAGCCTTCCACAATCTTGTAGAATAGGCTAGGTGCCAAGCTTTTTCCATTCTTCAAGATTGAACTATCCCAACTCCTCCAAGGAATGTTGAAAGCGCTAAAACTATGGGAAAATTAATATTCCAAATTTCTTAGGTGTAGATATATGGCTTATCATGGGAAACCACTCAGCTTTGCAAATGATATGTCCAACGAAAGCTTCATGACTAGAGATTCCTCTAGAAAATCAACGGTCAATCTTAAGGCGTGTGGTCGTGTCGACTAGTGTCGACCGAAAAATTTGTCTCATGTGAGCGAAGGAACTAACAACACCTAGCTGAAATCTAATCCTAGGGCTAGCTAAGGAATAAAATGCCATGGTTGAGGAGCTTATGTCATCACAGTAGTTGATCAAAGTCCAGTCGTTGCATGGGAAGATGCTCTCTTCGTCACGAAGAAATTCCGGCGGCACTCCAAGTACTAGCCTCCGCTCCAATTGGGTGATGAAGCGCTCATTGCAAGGAATTTTTTGGCTCAGACACAACACTATGCTTCGCTCTTCCTCTCTGTTTTCTCAGGCCGAGATGGTGACCGAGAAAGAAAATATGAGAGGTAGGAAAATGGAGAAGCTAACTATCTAAAACTCTCCACGTACTCGTGTGATCGCTCCTCAAGTTCTTTGTCTCTCTCCTCAATTTCTCAAACCGAGACAGTGAGTAAAAAAAGAAAATGCGAGAGGAGAATGAAAAAAGAAACTGAGAAGAGGAAGAAGAAGAATCAGACAGTGAGTAAAAAAAGAAAATGCGAGAGGAGAAGGAAAAAAGAAACTGATGGGCGAAGAAGCTCTCCCTGAACTCCCCAAGGCTCTCTGTGATCGCTATTGGCTCTCCCCAAGTAAAATGAGCGCGATCTACAGATATCCACCCCCCAGGAAGGATATTCGTAAAGGTTTAAATGACCAATTAACTCTTTTGACAAGCCCCAAGGTTAGCTCAAAGGTCATTTTTGCTTAGGACCAGTCCAACGACTTATCCCGATAGTCGGAAAGCATTCAAATAGAAAAATGGGGATCCGACAATGAAATGAAACAGACTGATTATGCGTGGCGTGGCCACTCCTGGGCATGGGCTAGGCATGGGGGTGTAACCACGCCTGGGTGTGATGTGACTACGCTTGGGTGAGACGTGACCACGCCTGGCGTGACGTGACCTCATTTCGACGATGGGTGAGACGTGACCACGCCTGGCGTGACGTGACCTCATTTCGACGAGATCACCCCTAGCTTAATTAGGTTACTTTCCTTTTTTTCCAGTAATCCAGTTATGTCATGAATAAATGTTGTTGTTGCGCTCCTCTTCTTGTTGAAGGAATGTTTTCACACTCACAACACCTTAAAGAATGTTGAATCTATAAAACACTCTACATGGAAGGATGAGAGAGAGAGAGAAAGATCACAACGGATAACAAAGAAAGAGAGTGTAACATTATTCATAACATTGATGAAAGTTTAGATTTGACTATTAAAAGTGATATTGAGTGTTATTTTCAGTATGAGACTTGCAATTATGAATGTTTTTGTGTAAGAATGCTAAATATGAAACTTTTGGGCGTTATTATTGTAAAAACAACATTCCGAACGCATCTACGCTGTTTGTTCCGCCATATGGAGTCATTTAAAGGATAATTCCTCATGAGTATGCCAATTTAGGGCTTGATTTGTTTTAGTCGCATCGAAAAAAAACTAGTCCAATCGATGTCGTCTCATCAATGCAATGTCACCCAACCCTCTCCTCATCGACAATCAAAGCTTAGCAAAACGTTCTTGGCCACGTGCTAGAAGGTTGAAGACGGATGTCTTGGGCCTTGGGGAGTCATTTGTGCGTGAAACATACCCTAAAGTTATTTGAGCAGACATCTTATACACGTGACATTAAAATTTGACGGCAATAATGACTCTCTTGAAACTGGAGCCGCCACTAGGGCATCGACTACTCTAAGTACTTGTACGAACTGTCTTGACATTTGGTTGGTGATCTGAGTTCCGAAATCTTGTAGGCCTTGTTGAACAAACTCTTTTATGAACTCCCCAGTGCATGCTGCTTCTACTGTGTTTCTTTGACTAGATTCTCTTTGTTGTTGCTATTGGGCTACTCTTCTTGTTGACAGAATGTTTACACACTTACCACACCTTAAAAGATGTTGAATTTATAAAACGTTCTACATAAAAGGATGAGAAAGAAAGAGAGAGAGAGAAAGAACACAATATATAATAGAGAAAGAGAGTGTGACATTTATTCATGACCTGAATGAAAAAATTGATTTAACTATTAAATGGGATAAGGAGTGTATTTTTCATATGAGACTTGCGATTATGAAAGTCTTGGTGTGAGATACCTAAATATCAAAGTTTTGGGTGTTATTAATGTAAAGCCCTAATATTTTTTTTTAAAATTAATTATTTTAATTGATTATAAATCATTATAATCTTATAATAAATTAAATTATTTAAACATAGAATTGGTCCCATATAGTTATATTGAGTCAAAATAAATCGGTTCGGCGACTGTCTTTGGAAAAAACATGTAGAATAGCAACTTTGGATGTAGCGGAAAGTTGCTTCCTGGATTCAACAATTACACATTTTTGGAAAAGACCATCCGCATCTTCTCGCCGTCGCTCTTGCTCATCGGGGGTCAGTAGCTTGCAATGAAGAGGGCGAGAGAGATCGACGGCGGCGAGAATAAGCTGTCCTGCATTGTTCTTCTGAAGAATCAGCTCGGCTACTTTGGTTGGGAAGGCCGGCGGCAGCGCGGCCATGGAGGTATGGGATCCTTTTTTTACCCGGCAAGCTCTTGTTTTTCTGTACTTCTTCCACGATTAAACAGTCGCATTTTGCTTGGAACAATAGACGGTACTCCCTTCGGTGTAATTTCCGATCTCCATTCTTCGAGAGAGATTCTTCAAGCTTCCTCTTGCAGCGTGGCGACGGAAGTGAAGTCTAGTGGTGCAGCCGCAGAGGAAGTTTACGTTTCAGGTATGGTAGGTTTTGGCACCAAAACATCGAACAAGGGAAGATGTTTTGCTGATGGGACTCTTGTATTTGTTTATCCCTATTCTACATGTTTTTTGCAGGTACCCAACCGGCTGCTTGCTCCGGAAGTGAATTCCCGGAGGCTTTAATTTCCGATAAACCTAAAGATGGTGTGTGTGATGATTTGGGGAAGCTGGAAGCAGACCCAAGGAAGGAACGGAGGAAAAGAGAGAAGAGAAAGAAGCACAGGCCCAAGGTGGTTGAAATTGAGAGGACAGAGAGGAAGCCAAAGATGGAGATCCCAATGCCTCCTCAAACACCCAACCAAAAAACTCCAGTGAAGAAAAAAGGCAAAATGATTGGAAGGAGGACTTTTGCAAGGAAGAAGTTATTTGCAAATTCCTTGGCAGATAATGATGGATGGGAAGAGGCTGGTGATCAACCCAATCGAGGTTCTGTTGACGAGACAATTAATCCTTCTAGCAGAATTCAAATAGATGAAGGTGGTTTGGCTGCTGAAATGGATGTAGAATCTTGCGGAAGTGGATTGTTCGCAGAGAATTTGCCGGCAGGATCCACTTATAGTTATGGAGATGTTAATATTGGAATTGATGAGTTGTTGCAAGAGCTTGCTAAACTTCCCATGAAATCATCTTCACCTCTGCTACTTAAAGCAGATTTACTGCAACTTAATATTGAATCTCCTCTTGCTTCATTGAGTTACATTTTAGATAATATCAGAATCCCTTGCCTTCTAGATTTTGCTAAGCAAGCTAGAAGAAATATAGACAAAAGTAGGACTAAAACAGGTTATAAGCTTCGAAATGGTCTATATTATTCAGCAAACAAAGTACTGGACGACTTTATGTGTGTGTTTAAGAATTTTCTTCCAAATCTTCTCTTGAAAAATGATAAGTCAACAGTATCAGGGCAGATGTTCAATAATAAGGGAGGTGGAAGGAGCAAGAAGAACATTAGTGGATCAAAGGAGCTAAAAGCCACAGGTAAAAGAAAGTCTATGCCTGCTACCAACTTTGAAATTGTACCCTACACACATTTGTGTGAGTTAAGCTCGAGATTTCAACACATAGAAGCCTCATGTACAACACCCATGACCAGTAATTTCACAGCCAATGGGCAAAAAACTCAAACTTCAGGGGATATCAACAATACTCTAATTCAGCATAGCAGCAATACAATGGAACTTGCTTTGCAAAGTGTTGTTGATAACATAAGGTCGGTGGATATAGATGAGGGCTTTCATGCGGATGATCCTACTGAATTAGGAAGTGCTATTGTTCCTTTTGTTGGAGGTGGCATGATTGTTCCATATAATAGATCATCAGAACAAGTCAAGCAAAAAACACACAGAGCGGAAGTACTATTGGACCCAGAGACAGATAGAATGTGGAGACTTTTGAAGGAAAACAAAGATGAACACAATGTTGAGGGAATGGATTCATGCAATCTACAATGGTGGGAGAATGAAAGACAGGTTTTCCTTGGACGTGCTAAATCTTTCACTGCTCGCATGAATCTCATTTTAGGTTTGTCTTCATTGTCCTTGTACATTATTTTCAGCAAATAAAAAAAATTAAAACAAATGTGTTTTATTTTCTGATCTACGCTGAAAAATTAGGTTTCTTTCATAGAATTTCTTGGGCATTGTCAATGTTTACACTATGATAATGTAACAACCTGAACCCTTACCCGTTATAGTATTGTCTGCTTTGGTCAAATGGTGTCATGATTTTGCCCCGTTGGTTTAACTTTCTAGGAGATCACCCATTTTAGGAGTGCTCCAATGCGAGCACCCCAACTTTGGAGTTTCTTATGAAATTTCACCGATACACCGAAAAACGACGCACTTTTTAAAAGTTCAGCTTCATTTTACTTGAGGAGTTTCACAATCTTCCTAACTTAAGTAATCGACTTTCTCGTTGGTGCTCTAAAGCCAGAATAATCCTCCTGTCAGATAGGATTCTAAACATGACACCTATAGATTCAACATGTAACTCTCACCATGTAGCACTTTGTCTCATATTGGGTTCAAAAGGTTGTTCCCAAGGTGTAGTTCTTTGTTTTGTATAACGCTTAATTCTCATCTTTAGGCTAGTGTAATGCTCCGATATTATTTGTAACAACCCGAACTCTCACCCATCAAGTTATTGTCTGATTTTGTCAAATGACTTCACGGTTTTGCCCCGTTGGTGTAACTTCTGAGGAGGTCACCCATCGTAGGAGTGCTCCCATGCGAGCACGCTTAACTTCTGAGTTTTTAATGAAATTTCACCATCACACCAAAATATGTCTCAATGTTTAAGAGTTCAACTTCATTTTACTCAAAGAGTTTCAAAGATAAAATGCAGTTTTTTATTTACTAGAATATAATAGTAAAAACAAACTTCAAATAATATTTAGAAAATAAACTTTTGAAATGCTTATGTTGAACTTATCTGTACTGTAATCAGTTGAAACCAATGTTAGAAATGTATGTTTGTACATCTTGTTTAGAAGTTCTCTATCTGAATACACATAAACATGTTTCATATGTTTAGCGGTCACGAAATCAATGATATTTGTTAAAAAGGAGAATATCTGACTATTATATTTTTTCTACAGGTGACAGGCGGTTCTCTCCTTGGAAGGGCTCAATTGTGGATTCTGTAGTTGGTGTTTTTCTTACCCAAAATGTATCGGATCATTTGTCGAGGTAACCACCTTTTTATGAGAGCCTTAATAAATTAACATCATATGTTTTTTGAAATATACCCTTATGTGCTATAATACCTGTATAATTTCATTCTATGGGCAAGTATTCACCTACATGGACATAAGGCTTAGAGATTTGTTAACAGTTAATTAGAGATTATGCATATTTGTCTCCACATAAGATGTGAATAGTTACTCGACCAGTGTATACTACATCACTCTTTGTTCAAATTGACCTACCACAGATACTTTTGGACCTATAATTGTCAAAAGCTTGGAATCTCTTCATTGGACAATTTGTGGATACCTGTTTTAGAATAAAAATCAGTTTGTATTCCTTTTTTCTTTAAATAATTATCATTTTTTTAACCATTTGCAGTTCTGCCTTTATGTCTCTTGCTGCAAAATTTCCTGTTGCGGAGGGAGGATGCTCTGAGAGGAAATCGGCTGAGCAAAATGAGGAAACCTCTACCGATTCCATGGCGTGCCCAGATGACATTCCTTGTTTGTCTAATTGTGATGATCAAGATACTATGGACATTCAACTAAATGGACAACCGCTGGAAAGCATGGCTGGCCAATCTTGCCACTTTCAAAATTCTTTAGGTTTGACTGAAAAGATTGAAAATTCAATGATCATTGATGTGGATGGATGTACTTCAAAACAGGCAGAAATCATTTCAACAGTTTTTTATGAGAATGAACAAAATGATTGTAGAGATCTCCCTCTTGTTCTTTCTGAATCAACAACATTCTCAAGCATAAACAAATATCCCATTGATACAATGGATGTTGAAATGGAAGCTACCACCAGTTATTCAAGCAAATTAAAAGCTAATTTCAGGTTTGAGAAGAACGCATCAAGTGTGAAGAAGGGAAATTTTGTTGATGAAGTAAAAATTGATTGGGAGGACATGAGGAGAAAAATAGATGATGGTAGTGGCAAGAAAGTGAGAAGTTACGAGAGTTTGGACTCGGTAAATTGGGAAAAAGTGCGGAATGCAGATGTAAATGAAGTTTCTGAAGCTATTCGGGAGCGTGGGATGAATAATTTACTTGCTGAGCGAATCAAGGTATTTTTTTTTTGCTTAATTTTAATTTCAATCTTGAAGAGCAGAAGAAAACTACATCCCATATTTTTTTCTTTCATTAAATTATCTTTGATTTAGTTATGATACACATAAATATATGGGTTTGTGAGTTTATTCTTTTGCTTGGTGTTAGATATGTAAATAATGGTGGAAAATAGGCATCTTTCCCATTTACTAATGGTGGAGAGTTGGCTACATGATGTGCATTCATTGGTGTTTGGGAACGCAAATCAAACTACTTGACCCAACAACATCTGCTTCTTAGTGACGGCCAATTCTTATGTTATAAAATTCAATATTTTCTCATTCTTTAACAATGCTCCTAAACCATTAGTATATTATTCATATATGTTAATGCAATGCTCAATTTTTTATAAGTTATAAGTGTAAAATACCTCAAATAAGCTATACTCAAAATTTTTACATTTTGGAAGATCATAAAAAAAATCATTTCAGTAAATTTAACTCCTCAAAACAATCATTTTTCTACATCACTGTATGCTAATTCTCAAAGATGAATATGAAATTAGTTCCCATTTTGATTAATTTTTTATAGGGATTTTATTTAATTTTACTGTTCATGCACCATATCAGTACTTGTGGTATCACAGTTTTGCACTTACAAAGGCATGCATTAGTTGATATTAATAGGGATGGTGGTAAATTGCTTTAAGAAATTTATAATAAACGTTATATAATTATATTTTTTCATACATAGAAAGGAATATTAAAATTGTATAATTCATTTCCTCATCTCATAAGCCCTCTTCCAGTGAGCTACAGGGAGGCCTAAACAGAGAGCAACCTGTGGGAAAAGGGAAGGGAAAAGAAGAAGGAAAGTAAGGTAATAAATTTAGTATTTTGATTTAAAATTTATTTTTTTGGTATTTTTCTAATGAATTGATTTCTAATCGAAATGGTAGTTTTATATTTCTATGAGAAGAAATAAGTTTGTCATTGTTTCTGAAAGGAATTAATTTTGGGATATTCAATTTTAAGGGTTAAATCTTTAGTTGGGTAAGATTTACAAATTCTAATACATAAATCAAAATTGTCTTTCATATGTATGATCATATGTAAATTAGAATTTCGAGTGTAATTCAATAAAAATTACTCATATTATAGAAAGTATGCTTATAACTTAGTATTCACGTGTAAATCACCACAAAATTTTTTTAATTATGTGAGATCTCAATTATATGTATAATGATTGTACAATTAAATTGTTATTTGGTGGCACTTTTAAATAAAGACATCTGGTATATATACACTTTATATTTATATATATTATTATTCAACATATTTTAAATTGAGTCCTATGTTTATTTAAATTTTCAATGAAGAAAATGCGTGAAGCCTAAGAAATATCATGTTTGGGGGATCGATTGACAATGATGTTTTAATGATTCCTGTACAGATGAGACAAAATGATACCCAATGGAGATAAAATGGTCCTCAGTGTAATTCTAAAGTGAGAAGGTCGGGTTTCATCTGGGCTCTATTAAACTTGATAATGTATTTTTCGAGCTGAATTTATACCTTATATTATGTATTGTGGTTTCACATGATGGCTAACAAACCTAAACAATCGTACATGACATTCAATAATTTTATGAAATATAATGAAGAACATGATGTATAAGCAAATGAAAGTTGGGGTAATTATATCAATGTGTAAATAACTAGATATTTGACTGACACAACGTGCCAAGAATAATTACGTATAAAATTATTTTCTATTTTAAGGTACCTATATTTTAATATAATTCCTTATGTCATTAAATTTTATTTTTTCACTATTATAGTAACGTATTGATCATATTCATTCTGTTTTATGATTATGTCCATTCATGGTTTACATGCTTATTGTTTATTTGTTCTTTGGTATTTGAGTTTTATATTAGATTTATTTATCATGCCTCATTGCTCATTAGATTGTTATAACTATTTTTACTGAAAAAGAAAAAAAAAAGATTGATTCAAAGTAGGATTAGTTTAATTATATGATCATATTTTGTTATACAACTGTTATAAAATCAAAAAAATTTGAGGTAAGAGAACAAATAACTTTTGTTTTTATAAGAATTTTGGTGTGCTTTAGAAGTTATTTAGATAAATATAAATATTGTATTTTAGACCACTTTCCTTTATTATGAATAGTTTAATTTAATTGGAGTAGTGTTTCATATGTTGTTCCAGCTAAATTTAAGTGATTGAATTTATCTCCTTCTCTATTTTGTTGAGTACTATAATTGATGATGGAGGTGTATTAGTCAGTTGAACCCGTTTCTCTTACATTATTCGTCGATTGGTTGAGGGGGTTGTCATTGATGCCGAGCCTCTATAAGTCAGTTCTTGGAATTACAGAATTCTGTTGGATGCAGGATCGTGAGAAGTCGTGATTTAGCTATAGGCCACAAGACCGAGTCTCCCGAATTTCTCTGGTTGTCATTGATGCCGAGCCTCTATAAGTCAGTTCATGGAATTACAGAATTCTGCTGGATGCAGGATCGTGAAAAGTCGTGATTTAGCTATAGGCCACAAAACCGAGTCTCCCGAATTTCCCAATTTTCAATATATTATACTTCTTTTTGCTTTATTTTATATTCCTTTATTTCCTATTTTCTTATTTCTAAATATGTTTTTACTTGGAGAAAATTTATATGTTATTATTTTTTGGGTTTGGACGCTTTTTATTTGATGAGTTACAGTTCGATCACCTTCTCGTTTTCAGATACAACCCGAAAAGGGGAATACCGACAGTCGATGACTGCCTTGAACAGAAGCATGCACAAAAACTGATCTAAATATGTACAAATAACAAATATATACTTCTAGGGTAAAGATGAGTGGAAGTGTCGATCAACCCTCTTTGACTGAATCGAGCTGAAAAATCCTGCTCTCATGTAGTAGGGATCCTGGACGGCTCCCTGTGGGACCGCTCCATGCGGGACTATAGCAAGGGTTGCGAGGCTGTAACGACACTATAGCAAGATTGCGGAACGGGTCTCATGCG